GACCGTGACCATACATCACCCACAGTCTGTACCACTTCTCAAACATCTGCCTTTTTCTGTCAGTGTAGTTCAGGTGCAGCATCAGTTGTACGCAGCACCGCCGCTGTAGGTGGCGCTGTTGTGTTTGAGGGGGCCTCACTGAGTTTTCCACACAAATAAACTAAAAGATTGACAACAGAAGAAAGTACTTACGTGACTAAAAGCTCCAACCGTGGCAGACAGCATAAACGGTACATTTTGAATCTGAAGTTTTTCTCACCTGCAGTCACTGCCACCAGCACTGATCACGTACTTATCATCACAGGAGAAGCGGATGTTGGTCACGTGAGCTGAATGTCCGAAGTATCTTTTATGTTTGGCCTGTGGAGAGGTCAGAGTGTGGGCGTGTCACGTGGTGTCCAGATATACGGTAGAAAATACTTTTCTTTGAAACGTAAAGATCACTCACAAACTTTTCAGAACAGGGAAAATCAAAGAGTTTAACTAGTCCAAAGTCGTCGCCTGTCACCAGGTTAACGCCAGCGTGGGAAACGCATGCACAGTTGACGTCAGCCTTTTCAGAATTACGAGGCCAAATGCCAAGAACCTCGTCGCCCAGGATACTAAAAAAGAAAACATTTTTTTTGCTAAAATTAAAAACATGTAAAATTGTTTTGGCTTGAAGCTTAATTATATCAAATCTGAAAAGAGGTTAGAAAATAGTTTGGGAAATTTTGTAATCATTAAAATGTAGTGTAGGATATGTGATCTGACACTGGCAAAGAATTAAGAACGTTTGTCCCTCCTTACCTGGTCCACGTGGCCCAGGTGATCCTCTCAACCACCGGCTGCTCCGTCACCATCCGTCCTGACGGAACCTCGTGCACCTGCCGAGTGTATGAGCTGCTGGACACCTGGACATGTCTACTGTCAGCTGAGAAGTCCACCTGGAGGACAAAGCCTGGAATGTCCTTACAGTAACCAACCCGGTTGAGGGACGGTCCGAGTGACAAGTCATAAAAGTCCACGGCACAATCCATCGAACCCACAGCCAGGAACCGATTATCTGGACTGAACCTGTTGACCACAGAGAACCGTTCAGTGGATGAAACTTCTGCTACGTGTTTGACATTAACCAACATATGAAGGACGTCCAAACCACAGCTCCAACATCTCTCTTAGATAATATACTTATATTTACAACATCTGTGATTGTCCTTGTCCTGAAAAATGCCCCGCCCCTTTTCCTAAAGTGTACTCAAAGATCATTGTTGCTCTTCTGTCTCTTCTCATCTGTCCTAACAAAGTGTCTTTACATTTGTCCCATGGAATGTCCTAATACATAATTCTCTTGTTATCTCTCTAGAGGTTGTCCATGAATCTGTCTCCTTATTTGTCTAAAGATTGTCCTGATTATTGATGATAACATTGGTGTTGTTGTCTGTCCTCAGGTGTCCTAACATCGTGTAGTGGTGAACCTTATGTCCTGGATGGCGACGCTGCGGTCTCTCCTCTTGCCCCACACAGTGAGCGAGTTTACCAGCAGGACAATAAACTCTCCGTTCTCCGATCCAATCGATACCATTTCTCCGTTCGGGCTGTAGGAGGAGCACTTGGCAGGATGACCCAGACTCACTTTGTTCAGAAGTTTCTGTTGATGAAGACCAAAAAACAACAGTGGTTTTGTGCACGAGGTATTTTTAACCATTTCATAAATCCTCCTTGACATTTGAAGAAACCAAAAGTCCTTCCTCTGAACCTTGTCTGCTAAGTCCCATATTCTTATTGTTCCATCATCACTGGCGGAGATGAAGACATCTTTGAAGGGATGCGTGGCCAAACCCCAGATCCCTCCCTGCGTGTGTCCGTTGATCATGGTGTTGGAGGCAGCATTCTTCTCCCCTACCTCGATGATCTCTCCATCTTTGGTTCCCACCAGTATTTTACCCTAAAATTCCCAGAAGGCAAAAAAAAGGGATATATTACTATTATTATTACTAATGTATTTATTATTGTGTTTTTAATGTGACCTTGTGTTGTTGCTCATGACTTTTACTCAGGGACTTATTGTTCTGACCACAACTGGGCTCAAATGAGGTTTCCTTATTATATTATTGGTTTCCTTTATTTCATTTCTTTATCAAAAGCTGATACATATCTGTGTCCCAGCTCTGCCATCTCTGACTGTTTCATCTCTGACTGTTTCATCTCTGACTGTTTCATCTCTGACTGTTTCATCTCTGACTGTTTCATCTCTGACAACACTGATGAAGATGGGGCTCCACTCGTACCTTCCCTCTGCAGACGGAGCGAACGTTCTCCACCGGCTGACCCGTCTCCAGCTGAAACGCTCTGCAGCGCTTCATCTCCTGGTCCCAGAGTTTCACAGCTCCACCCTCTTTAGTCCTGCACACAGTACACAGAAATTAGAAGTCTGACTTTCAGATTATAGACTTTGAGAATCCTCCGTGTCTATTCCTGGAGGCACAGTCACAAAAACACCACCTGCTGCCGTTCAAAGGATGACCTCATCTGTCTGACTCAAAAACAATGGTTTTGGCTCACGACGCACCGAGGCTGAACCACAGTCTCCATCTTGGTATTTTGAAATCTAATGTTTTTGGTATTACAGTACATCAGGGGTGAGGATGAGGAGGTGCTGCAGCTCAGAGCTGCTGGAGTTAGACATCTTCTGAAATGTATGCTAAACTCTAAGGTGTTAGACATCTTCTGAAATGTATGCTAACCTGTTAGACATAACATAACTAAAGGTTAGCCCATAAATAGCTTTAAGAAAGGCTAGAGTGAGACAAAATAGCTAAAGGAATAGCCTAAAGATACTGTGAGACAAAATAGCTAAAGGAATAGCCCAAAAAAAACGCACATGTCTCAAAGTTAGTCAGTAATAAAACCCACCCTCTCCAGCAGCCATGTTTTTATAGCAGTCTGAACGATGAAACCATCTGTGAGTGTGAACGAGGTGTAAACACTGTTGGTGTGCTAATGGAGATGACCTACGGTCGCTCTTTTCCTCCAGTGACGATGAGACCGTCTCTTAGCGTCGTGGACATGGGGAAGACTGGGCCGCTGTGTGCCTTCGCCACCACACGCACCAGGAAGTGCTCCCTCCACACATAAACATCTCCGTTAATGGCTCCAGTGAACGTCAGGTTGTTCTGGGTTGGACAAAGACGCTCAGTTAGAGTCTAAAAAAAAAAAAAAAAAGACTCAAAGATTGGACATGGAGGTCGGGCGGATCTTACCGCGCCAAAAGCCACAGACAGCATTGTCTGCATGCGACTGTCCTCCACCGCGCTGACCACGCCCTTCTTGTACAAGAGCGAACCGCCCACCAGAGTCCAGAACTTGATGTGTTTGATTCCCACAGACACAAACTGAGTGTCGGAGTCTGGTCTGAACTCCACCACAAAGATCCGCTCAGAGTGGCCGCCTTTACTCGTCACCTTGGTGCCTGGAGGAGAGGTCAAAGGTCAGAGAATTGCCCTTTAAATATAAAAGGTCAACAATCAGGATGGAAAAACTGCAGATTAGATGTTACGCCGATAAAGTGTAGCAGGACTTGAAAGTATACAGCTGGTACCTTCCTGCCACCTCCACACAGTGATGGTGTGTTCTGGTTCCACACCCACAGACAGCAGCAGTTTTCCTGTGGCACTGAAGTTCACATAGCCGATACCTTTAGCATGGGAACAGCGGAGGATGGACAGCGTCTGCTTTGTCATAGCGTCCCATATGTGGATGGACGGTGCAATACCTACGGGTATGAGAGAGGAGGAACCAGAGAAGCTGAAGAAATCCTGGACCAAGAATTGACTTTACAAACAAAGGGGAACAGGAGGACGGACCAAAGTCCACGTTCTACAACAACCAGGAAAATAGGAGACAATTAAGGAAAGTGTTGGGAAGGAGACGACCCAAGAACCCAGGGGGGTCAGAGTACTCAAAACGTAAACACTTCAGAGGAACAGTTTAACTTTTCATTATTACGATCACTGTCTGTGACTTTAATCTGGAACTGATCCTTCAATAAGCACCCACTGCTGCTGGAACAAGTCTTAGAAACAGATTGACCTTTAACCTGGTAACGGTTTGAGCCTCTGTGCAGTTTTAAGAGGACGTCTCTGTGTACATGGTTCTGACTTCAATTGTTCACGAGGATAATGACAAGAGAAAGAGAGTCCTCCAAAAGTTCTCTAAGGAACTTGGTCAGAGAGAATAGAAAGGTTTTCAAAAATATGTTCCCATTGAAAACGGCTGGTTCACAGACCACAGTCCGGTCTGTGCTGATTAAACCAAACATCCAAAAACCTAAACTGTTCCTTCAACAACACTTAAAAACACTAACGAGCAGGTGAAGAAGAACATCATGTCAGGTCGTGTCTGACGCTCATGTTCTGATGTAGAATGAGAATCAGAAACACACACACACACACACACATACACACACTAAAAAAGAGGCTGCGTGCTCAGCTCAGGGGGGCGGAGCTACACAAACCTGGACGCTGACACTCAGAGGGCACGTCAGTCTCTACAAACAACAACACCAACATGTTAAGCAGCCAACGTGTTTGGTTTGGTGTGTGTATGTGTGTGTGTGTGTGTGTGTGTGTGTGATGAGCTCAATGATGGTGTGTCTTACCTGGCAGCTCAGTGATGTCACCTGGTGATGAGGCAAAGCAGTGACAATGAGGAAGCAGTGGAAAAGAAAAAGTGCAATGGGAAAAAGCAGCTGAGTCATGCACCAGAAGTGTTACTTTACAACAGCAGTGCCTGACGTCCCGTCTGTGACTCACCAATCTGTCCGGTAGCGATGATGTTCTGATATTTGGGATGTTGGTTGACGGTCAAACAGAGGATGTCGTCTGTGTGTTCCAGGTAGAAACTCTGAGTTCCTGTCATCATCGACGGCACAAACGTTACAAGAATGTTAGGAATAAAAATATTGGAGAAAATAAAGTCGCGTATTTACCTGCTGAAAGGTTTTGGACGATAGCGGCAGCAGCGGTGTGGAAGACAATGTCAGAACCGTCATTGAGATAATGTAGGTTGTTTCGACAGTCGAAGCCTCTGTAGCCAAAGACATGCTCCAAGAGCAGCTCCTGCAAAACAGCTGAGGTCAGTCTGAGGTCACGTGAACTGACAGACCAGTAACACAAGTGTGATGTCACACTGACCTCGACTACTTTCTTCTTCTTGGTCACGTTATTTTTCAGCAGCTTATCTGGCAGTGGTGCAGCTCGACTAACTGGAGGCCTGAAGTGAAAAGCAGCAGCAGTCAGAGACCCGTCACCATCTGATTGGTGAATAACCCGGTGGTCAGTACCTCTCATCCACAGGAAGCTCTTTGTGCTGCTGGTGAGGTTTGGTTCCGGACAACTTCCTGATGCTGGATGAGTAAATCTTAGTCACGTAGTCCACCGCCTTCTCCCGGGCTACATCGCTGTCATAACCTGTAGACACACCACACGTTTTAAACCACATCATATCTTCAGATTACCGTTCAAACTCTCCCGTCTTCGTTGTTACCTCCGTCTTCTTCGGTGTCATCGTCTGACTCCTCACTGTCCACGGCTTTGCTCTCTTTGTGACCCACGGGCTCCCTGGTCCAGATCATCAGTGCAGTGTCAGCCCCGCCCACTGACAGCAGAACTGAATCGTCATTGGACCATCGGACGTTGGTCACGTTGGTGCTGTGTCCCACGTATTTTTTAAACTTAGCAAACTGTCCCTGAGGTCAGATTTGTAGGAGGAAAAATAATCAGAGTGGAATGTTGTAAAGACTGAGCCATGAGTTCTCACACCTCAGGGAACTTACTCTGGATGGGAAGCTGAACAGTTTGAGGAAGCCAAAATCATCTCCAGTGGCAAGCAGTTTGTGGTCTTTGGTGAGTGAGGCGGTGTTAACGAAGCTGAGCGTCGGCCATATTCCCTCACAGGTCGGACCCAGGACTGAGGTCCAGCTCGCCCAGTCAAGCTTTTCAAACTGGTTCAGAAAAAAAACCCAAATTCTCGCCCAGTCAAGCTTTTCAAACTGGTCACACAAAAGACAAAAAGAAATGTTAAAGTAAAATGATGTGAGCCACAACTCCAAATCATAAATGAAACGAACCTCGGCTACGCTGATGTTTTGTTTACGTCCTCGTGGAGCCTCAAAGAAAAGCTGTTCTTTGGCACCGGTGTTTACCTGTAAAAGTTTACCTGTAGAGAGAAACACACACAAATAAAAGTTAAAACAGTTTGACCATGGGAGTATGTGCTCAAAGCTCCTAAACATTTATTTCATTCCTCAACAATCATCTTCTAAACCACAGGTGTCGTTGTACATCGGCCTCATTATTTCCTACTAAATTGATCAAACGCTTCACCTTCAAAACATAAGTGACCAGTCAACAGTTTGCTTCATTATCTTAGAAACAACAACGCAGGTTATTTTTACCCCTCGAGTCCCAGTCGATGTGAGTGATGTAACTGCCAGCGCCTTTGCAAATACCAACTCTTTTACTGGTCAGGACATTATAAATGTCCACAAAGGAATCGTAGGACGCCACAGCCAGGTACTTCCCTGCATCTGAAAAATAGAACACTGTTACCTGTAACTCACTAACCACAGGTGTAACACATGTAGTATGATAGACGACTTGGTACCTAGGGAGAAACGGATGTCGGAGATGAGTTCCTTGCGGTGATGAAAGGTCACCATGTCCTCCAGAGTGTCGGCGTTTACCACCAAAAAGCTGCCGTCGTTCAGACCTACAGCTAGAGCTTTGCCGTCAGGAGAAAAGGCACAGCACCGCCCTCCTGTCAGGTGACACAAAGGTAAGTGGTCTATCAACATGTTCACCAAAGTCACCTGGAGCTGTTCTGCTGTGTCACCTTTCTTGAGTTTGCGAACTGCCACCATGCGGTGGTTGGAGGACAGCTCCCAGATCCTTAAGGTTTTGTCGTCACTCACAGTAGCGCAGACAGGAAGCAGGGGGTGAGCTGCCAACCCCCAAACCTCACCTTCCATGTGACCCTAAACACAAGGAGTATGGATAAACAGGCAGCACAAACAGAGGTGGGCTCAGGTCAGCTGAGACATGGTCTGTGGTCTTACCTGGACCAACAGGGTCATTGATCCGCTCTTATCAATCTCCAGGATTTCTCCATTCTTTGTCCCCAGGAGGATGTGACCGTGTCCTAGAGTAATAGCTTTGATTGATGGGTTGTCCTCCAGCAACAGACCTGCACCACAATCACAAACCCATGAGTGACCACAACAACAAACACACACGATTAAAATCTGTCACCAATAACAGCAACAAAAGCAATGTCACAAAAATGACACAAACAGACAACTGGACACAAGCTGAGATTAACTGACCCTTTGACCCTTGTCTACAGAGACAAGATGGAAAGGACTAGTTACTAGTTAGCAGTCACTGCGCACCTTTAGACGACGCAGACAGTGCAGCTCTCTTGATGGCGTAGGTTTTCAAACATCGCTCGAACATGTCATCCCACAGCTCCACCACGCCATCTTTTCCTCCTGTCACAAAACCCTGGATGGTGAACACAACATGAGAGAGTATGAGTAATTCTCATTCTTAATTTAATTCACGTCAATAATGTGTCCAAAGGGACAGACGGTTTTAATTCACGTCAATAATGTGTCCAAATGGACAGACGACCTTGTCCAGGGAGCACATGGCAAACACGGGGCCATCGTGAGCTTTGATGGTCTTGATGAGAGTCGTGTCTCTCCAGATGTAAACATCTCCGTTTGTAGCACCAGAGAAAACCATGTCCTCAGATCGACCGTAACATGCTGACATCATTGTCTCTTGTTTACCGAGGTTACCGAAAATCCCACGCTTGAATGTCAGACCGCCACCTGCAGGTCAAAGGGAGAAGAGAAATCTGATGACAGGCGTTTCATTTTAAAGGAAGTTAAAACTTGGTGAGTGAAGAACAAACATCACCTGAATGTTGCCAGAACTTGATGTGTTTCATCCCCACAGTGACCAGTTTGTCCATTCTGAATGGATTACTCTTCACCACCAGGATTTTGTCTTTGTGGCCCCTAAATGATGCACAGCATGGTCAAAATGTAAAGTATGTAACAGGTTGTGTGTCCAAGAGTGTAATCAGGAGTTTAAGTGTCGTCACAACAGTGTTCAGGTGTTCAATTCAGGGTTAGGTGGTGTGTGTTGTTTCTACTGTTGGTTCTTTATTCATGTGATGTGAACCGTCCTGTTCAAGGCTCCAGGTACTGTGAGTTTGAAACACATACCTGGCTTTGGCCAGTCTCTCTCCTTTCTTCCAGTCCCAAATAACAATAGTGTGAAATTCGTCGATTCCTACTGAAATCAAACTTTTTCCATCGGCTAGAACAAACACACAGATGCAGAGTGAGGAGTGAGGAGTGAGGAGTGAGGAGACGACTGGTCCTATAATCAGTGGCTTTAACATGAGACTGCAGGTCAAACCTGTGAAGTCCAGTGAACACACTCCTTTGCTGTGGTGACCCTTCAACAGCGAAAGACACTTTAGTGTCTGGACATCCCACACATGC